TATAAAAATATACATTTATAACATACATATATACACATAAACTTTTTCAAGTCTGAGACAGATAAACTTGTTGCCATCTCTTCAGCAAAACTGAGAGAATTCCCTCTCCCTGTCTTCTGCTGTTTTTGATTACATTTGAAGTCAGCAGAAACACTTCAGGCTTTCCTTTCTGAATATGAAACGTAGCATGCTAGTGAAGCAGTCTGAGGAAAGAAAAGACAACGTAAAAGGCTTTTGTGGTGAATATGTAGGACCATTAAGGGATCTTCTGCATATTTGTTGCAACTTTGCATCGCTCCCTCAGCCTTTTATATTAGTATTGTGATAAGTACTTTTGAGTTCACAGATGTGTGAATAACGATGAGATTGTTGTTTTTTTGAAGTCCGCTACTGTTCCCATTCTGTCACGGTGTTCAGGATGTTGCCCCTCTGCTGGCTGCTTCTGAGACAGAGTACTCCTGCCTTAGCAGTTGGACGTTTAGTAGCAGGAACTTTTAACTGATTTTCCAGAATGACACTTGACTGACTTCAGGAACCAGTGTATAAAGAGCATTTGTTAAAATAAGCTGGTTTGAAGTTTGGGGGTTTTTTTTCCCCCCAATATATTTTTGGAGATACCCAGAGAATTAGCAAGACTGATTAGCCAAAGTAGATGATGTACAAATACAACAGTTTTTAATGGACTTTTTTTATCCTTTAAGTAAAGGCAGATATGTATCATGGTGTTTTGTACTTTTCACAAAATGCATATTAATTTGTCAGGCTATCATGCATATCTGGGGTACATTGGTTAAATGCCATTTGGTTAAGGTAGAGGTTGGAAGAACAAAATATTATTTGATTAGCAATGAATTCATAACTGTCAACATTTTTTAAAGTTAATGCTTATTTTGGACATATGTGAGGCTTAATGTAATGAGGTGGACCTATGGGTAAAACAAGAGCTATCACTAAAATAGATAGCATGTGCAATGTAATACGTATAATGCTAAATAGATGCATGCATAATTTTAAGTACGTGCTGAAAACATGCTCATTTTCTTTACATTCTTGCATGCTAAAAGTCACTTGTTCTCAAATACTAGCTCTTCAGACTACTGCAACTTTGGAATAACTTTGCCAATTAATTTCTCCTTTTTGTGTGTGTTTATGTGTGCAGGTCTTATCCAGCCAATCCCAAGGAATAGCCAGTTCTTCCAAAATTATTTTAACAATAATTTTGTGAATGATGCAGACAGACCATACAAATGTTTTTATTGCCATCGAGCCTATAAAAAATCTTGTCATCTTAAACAACACATCAGGTAAAATGAATACAAATAAGAAAGGAAATGTATGTAACAACAAATTTATGGAAAAGCATGTAATTTATATAGTGTTCGCTGAAAAGACTTCTTTTTTTAACCGTCGCCAAGTAGTGAACCAGTGATAATTGATTTTTCTGGTAAAGTTGGAAGAGACTTTGGACTAATTCATATCTATATGCAGTCCTAGCAGTAGAAGTCGTTGTGTTTAGTGTGCAGTTTAGCTTATTAACACTCAGACTCTTTTTTCCTAAACTATGTATAGAAAATAACAAGCATTGCTTGTGAATTCTTGTCATAATTTTGTACTTGTGTACTCCAGATCATCCGCTTTGTATGTAACTGCTATTTTTTTAGAAGGAAATTAGCTTTTTGTTCTGTTTGCTGTTTTCTGTGTACTAAACCTGGAAGAATTTAGGCTTACATTGTAATCGAGTAAATGTTCTTGGGGATCATTTTTTTTGCTTGAAGTTTAGTTCAAGTTCCACGTAGTGGGTGTTTCTTACAACCACAAGGTTGCAGAGCCACGGAAAATTTTAGGTTGGGAGGGAACCAGTGGAGGTAACTAATCCAACCTTGTTTTCAAAAGAAAGGCTAGCTTCAGAGTTAGATTGGGTTGCAGTTTTACAGGCAGTGAGCTTTGACATTTAGTTGACTTATCAAACATTGCTCCCTGCTTTATAAACTCTGAATAACTGGAGGAGAAAAATATGAAAAAAACCCCACCAAAGGTCATTACTGGGATCTAAGGAAATTTTCCAAACAAGCAGGTGGCAATCTGCTTGTTTCTGCAATGTAAGCTCTGGTTGTGGTTTAACCCTGCAGGCAGCTAAACACCACACAGCTGTTTGCTCACTCCCTCCCCCACCCTGCTGGGTGGGGAGAGAATCAGAAAAAAAAAAAAAGTAAAATTCATGGCTTGACATAAAGACAGTTTAATAAGACAGAGAAGGAAGGGAAAATAATAATAATAAAAGAATATGCAAACCAAGTGATGCACAGTGTAATTGGTCACCACCCACCAACCAATGCCCACCCAGTTCTGAGCAGCAGTTCTCTACCCCCCTGGTTAACTCCCCCCAGTTTCTATACTGAGCATGATGTCACAAGGTATGGAATAGCCCTTTGGTCAGTTTGGGTCAGCTGTCCTGGCTGTGCCACCTCCCAGCTTCTTGTGCACCTGGCAGAGCATGGGAAGCTGAAAAGTCCTTGACTAGTGTAAGCAGTACTTAGCCATAACTAAAACATCAGCGTGTTATCAGCATTCTTCTCCTACTAAATCGAAAACACAGCACTGTGCCTGCTACTAGGAAGAAAATTAACTCTATCCCAGCTGAAACCAGGACAGCTCTGTACTGCTTTCTCACTGTCTTGAATTCAAATCATGGTGAGTTCTTCATGTTCTCCTTACAAATCAAGTTCTGTATTGGTAGGTTCTCAAACTGGCTTGAAACAGTTCTTGAATTCTATATGCTGTCTTAATGCGGGGGGGGGGGGGGGAAAACTTGTAATATGACATCTTTTCCTTTGGAAATATCCTACCTAGATTTCTCACTGTCTTTTGTAGACACAATCAAGCTGGATTGATTTAAATCAAAATAAATTAAATTAGTAAGTGTTGCTAGTCTGCATCATTACCACCTTCATTGTCCTTCATTGAAATGGTTGATTTTGTGTTTCACACTTGTCTCTATTTTCTTAAACAGGGTGTAACTGTCAGTGGTTAGTTACCATTAAAATGTTAGTTGCCACTAAAGAGGGCCTTATCTGCCTAAAGATGGCCTTATTTAGCCTAAATATAAGCTAAATTTATGCATATTTTACTGAAGCATTTATATAGTTTACAGTTTTATTTATATTTGTAATTTTCATCTTCCATTTGTGTTAGAGAAATGTAGTTGACTGATCTATGTAGTTCATTTTTCTTTTTCATAGTTTTGTCAGGATCCTTTGAGTGGAGATTGAAAAAGTTTTAATTACATAGAACATGAACAGCTTATTAGTTAAACAATTGGTTTACATACACTGAATACTCACAGTTATTTTTTTTTTCTTGTCAGAATACATTTTGTGTTTGAAAATTATGTTCTTCAAATGCCTGTGCTTGAATTCATTCTGCTGTTGGGTATGCACATAGTCCAGCTTAGGATAAGCTATCTTTAAAAGCTTCATTACTTATTAAGTGCATCTTTGTTTTTCTTTTCTGATACTGAAAATACAAAGATGTGAAGGGGGTACCAATCACTTGCTGCTGTGTTTCTTTCTGATTGATCTTTGGACCAGGGTGCTGAGTGAAGCTTATCTTAGCTTGGCTTTGTTTGGGGGTTTGTAGAGGAATTGGAAACTTTTCTCTTTTTCCATGTTTATTGTTCATAAGTTGGCATTGCTATACCCAAACTACTAGACTTGACACTTGTGTAGTCAGTCTGTCTTCACGGTATGATGCTTATCATTGCTTAGAAAGCTTGTTTCCTTCTCTGAAACAGAGGGAAATCTGTCATAGTGGTATACTCAATAGAGCAGTGACTGAATAGTGTGTCAGGTTCTCCCACAGGCCCACCAAGGAAGGGTTGGGATACCCTTACGACTGATTTCCGTAGATGTATATTGGTAGCAAAATAGTGATCTTGGTGTCTGCCACACTTATTTATTTATGGCATCTGATGTGGTGGTCATAGACTTCTACGGCTACTGTAGTCATAAGCCATGCCTAACTTTTCCCAGTTTTATTAAATCTGCTTCCTTTGTCTTCCATTTCCTAGCATTCACATCACCTTCCTCCTAGCTCTCACTCCTGGGATGGTACAGTTGTAACCCTTAAAATTTTTATTGCACTCCACTTCCTAATCTGTCCTTCAGTCTATTTTATATCTTGATGTAGTCGTAAAGGGAAACTCCTGTAACACCTCTGGAAGGAAGCATATAGTGAGTGGGATGTGTTGATAGTATAGGTGAGAGAGTTTCCCCATTTGAATATTGTTTTCACATAATTTGAAAGACTAGTTGTACTGTGCCTTGTTCAGGGGGTATGCAGGATAGACACAGTTCTTTTCCCAAAAGTTTCGTCATTAAACGTAATAGTAGCATATAATATGAGGAGAACCGTAATGTCTTTTTCTCCAAACTTTTGTGGACGTTGTTTTAGCTGAATTGAGGAAAATACATGTGAATGATAATATACTAGTCTGAAGAACTAGTACATTATCTGGCATGCAAAAAATTCAACTTTAATTTTTAACTGAGGCAGAGTATGCTCAGAAAGGGAGATTGGACTGTAGAATATAATTAAAACTGTCAGACAGTATTGCTTCTAGCCCTGTCAGTGATGACATGCAGGATGTTTATAATTTATTAAAGCTTTAATTTCTGGATTGTGTTAACTGAGGCCTCTTCCATCCATACAGCAGTTGCCTTAGTTTGGTTTATTTTGCTAATTTTAAAATTTAGTCTTTTAATAACTTTGTAAATCAAACTGTTAAATCTACTTTAACTTCTGCTTTCTCTTAAAAAGGTCGCATACTGGTGAAAAGCCATTTAAGTGCTCTCAGTGTGGAAGAGGTTTTGTGTCAGCTGGAGTTCTGAAAGCACATATTAGAACACACACTGGATTGAAAGCTTTTAAGTGTCTTATATGCAACGGGGCCTTCACTACTGGTGGTAGCCTCAGGCGACATATGGGGATCCATAATGACCTTCGACCGTATATGTGTCCATATTGTCAAAAAACATTCAAAACATCACTAAACTGTAAAAAACACATGAAGACTCATAGGTATGTTTACAATTTTGATATCAGTCCTTCAATGTATTTCAGTAGCCCTTCCTTAAAGATGCTTGGAAAGGCAGTTTTGCTCCATAGGGAATGCTAATAATTTGAATAAGGATGTTTATGGGTAGCAAATACTTAGGTAGCTCTGAAGGTATAGTAAATTACGGTGTATAGTAAAAATAAAAATAAAAATCTGTTCACATAAGTAGTTCGGATAGCTGTCTAACTGAAGCCATAAAAAGACCTCCTTACCTTTCTTTGCAGATATGAACTTGCACAGCAACTTCAGCAGCATCAGCAGTCTGCTTCAATAGATGATTCTACAGTAGATCAGCAGAGCATTCATGTTTCTACACAGATGCAAGTGGAGATTGAAAGCGATGAGCTACAGCAGTCAGAAGCTGTTGCAACAGATCAGCAGGCTATTTTAGAGTTAGACCAGCAGCCAGTAGTAGGCACAGAAGAAACAGCACTAGAACAACAATTGGCTGATCAGCCTTTAGAGCAAGATGAGGGTAAGTATTTGAACTATGATAAGGTTTACAATGAGGTAAGTTTACAAGTTCTCAAATAACTTTTTATTCCCAAATTCCAGTGATTTCAGTTTCGAGACAATTACAAGTAAACAACTAGAAAAATACATGGAGTAAAAGCTAACTACTTGAAGTACACTTTACAGTTTCTTTCGTTCATTGGTGTTTAGGTTTAGTGTTAAAAATACAAAAAGATTAAGGTTTGTACCATTTAGTTGTGTCAAACAAAACTACTAAAAAAACATACAGAAAAACAATACTATGTACACAAAACTTTACCACATCACCTCTATTATTAATAAAAAGCACTGCTATATAGTCTACTTAGGAAGTAATACCTGTGTTTTGAGGTGGGAGAATACAAAGTATTCCATGTACTTATTTTAGTAGTAGTAGTGGAACAAAGTATTTTGGTTTTGCTTATTTGCTCTTTCTCATGGTGTAATGAGTTATCAAGTACTACAGAGGAATATAACTAAAGCCTACAATAAGCAAAGATTTAAATACCTATGCAGCTAATAATTTTTTAATGTATTTTTAATGTAGTAAAAATTCAAACGACTATAAAATGTAGGTTTTTGGGAACAAATGAATTATCCAGTTAATTACATCTTGTTTTCTTGGTATTTTTCCCTTCCCCCCACCCCCTTTCCCCCATTTCAGACAGATTTGTGACATCCCAGCATGCTTTACAGGAAAACATCACTCAATTTGAACAGCAAGCTATAACACAGCAGCCATTTGATCAGCAGAGCTTATCACAAGGTTAGTAATAAATAAAGGTTTTTAAAGTGATTTTTATAAATCTGCCTTTACAGCATAGCTATCATAAAGCATTTCAGAAGTGGGCATCCACAGTCGAAGTAACTGCAATGCAGAGAAGTTGCAAAAGCTTTTTCTTAAATTACTATTTTGAAACTATATTTGGTAAAATATTTTGAATACTTGAATGTAAATAGATTTTGCTGTTATGAGCTGATGTTTAGCCATTACAGTATGGGGTTTGTAGTCAGGCATTTTGTATTATTTACCTAACTGTGTTTGAACTTGCTGTGGCAGC